TCAAAATAATCGTTTGTGGCAGCCCTAATTTGGACCCACCTTTAGTCTTCTGTGCTCTTATCAGAATAACACCTCCAAAGTACAAAGTTTCCACCTTCATGTTTGACTGCAGAGATCATGTTCTTTGGTAATACTCTGCATTTCTTGTCCTACAAACACAGCGGGTTGAGCTGATGCCAAAGAGCTCAGTTTTGGTTTCATTTGACTGCAGCACTTTCAAAGCCTTCTCTAAATCATTTAGTTGTTCACTGGCGAACTTAAGATGGGTGTGCCATGTGCCTTCAGCTCCAAACCGAGGGCAACTGATGGTCATTTTATATTTCCAGATAATTGCACCAGTAATTGTCACCTTCTTACATCCCATTCCAGCCTTGTCCCTTTTGTCCTTTGACAGCTCTTTTTCAATTATTGAAAAATATAATTAATTGAAGAAATTGATTCTGTAGACCGGTGTGCTTTATAATTAGACACTCTTGAACTCATTGATTGTAATTTGCCAATTTGAGTCAGAATTCTCACTGAGTTGTAGGGGATCAAATAATTATATCACTCATTGATTTTTGACTGATATTCTCCCTCCATTAAAATTAAATTGTATTGCTTTGTAAATTTTTAAATTAGAGTCGATCATTCAAAAATGTCATCATTTAATGAAAACTCCTTAAAAACACTGAGGAGAAAGACGCCAGATTATGACCAGGTTAGATGAAGACAACATTTTCAGTGTAGAAAAATTTCTACTCAAAAAGGTCACTCTGATGCCAGCCTACCTGCCAGTTGTAGTACATGTGGCAGAGCTTGTAGGTGAGCCGCTGCATGTGATCTGGCTTGAGTCCACTGGTGTCATACACGACATTGTAGTGGGTTGGTGAGACACTCCCACTGCGAACAGCCTGGCTCACAATATAGAAGTCATACCTAGAAAACAAACGTGCAACAATACTGTCACAATACAACTGCTCCTATGTAAATATCAAAAGACCGTTAACAGCTAAAAAAAAAACAACAAAACAACAACAACAACAACAAAAAAACCCCCTTTAAAACAAGACGTACCACTCTGGCCGGGTGACCTCTGAGTCAACGATGGTGCCAGGAGGAGGATTGGACACCTTGCCATTTATGTGGGCGAAAAACCTGCTGCTTATGCGCTTCTTCACCACCACCACACTCAGCTTTGGGCTACAACAAAAGGACAGAGGCTCTGGGAAAACCTGACACTTCTACTAAATAATCTCAACTTTGTTCTTTTGATGCTCAAGAATAAATACTAACAGCACTACAAAAACGTCCAACCAGTCATTTTACTTTACCGTCCTTACAATTCTCAAATCAAAGGAAGGAATCATGTATGACCATTTGTGTTATCAGTAACCCCACAGTGCAAATTTAACTGCCTCTGAGGGCAATGGTTCTTAGAGAGATTTAAAAAAAACACCATAACCGTTGGAGATGGAAAAACTCACTTGTAGTCTTGCCCCATTGACTTGATGGAGTCCATGATCTGCTGAACCTCATAGTTCACCACACTGTGCAACTGCCCATCCCCCACTCCGTCTCGGTAAACGATGATGCGTGAAGGGAGACAGCCATTGAACCTCAAATACTCTTTCAGGGCAGCTGGAAAACAAAGTGTTAAGACAGTTTCTGAGATCCTCTGTGTATTTAAAAGTAAAAGTTTTTGAAATGACAAAAGAAACTTGCCACTCAAAGTCTTCTTCAGCCCATCCATGATCTCCTGACCTTTGTGCTGCAGCACACACTTTGAGAACCACCTTGAAAAACATTTGAATCATTAACTGTACTATTGCATTTAAAGCCATGGTTTATACACACACACACAACGCCAAGTGAGGCCTTGTTTGCACATGTTTAACATAACCGAGAGCGCATTGCACTGCTCCCAGTGTGAATTCCCACCTCAGTTACAGAAACCAACCTGCTCATGCTTTGGTTGAGACTGGCCACTAGAGCACCAATAGACCTTTTCCCAGCAGCGGTGTCATGGTAGCAGTCGATGCCCACGATCATCAGCTGTTTGAGCTTCACAAACATGACAATATCACAAGGGGTTGCCACAGCAGGTAGCTCCGGATGTATGACTTAGCAGATTTTCTTTCTTTTTCTTAATGTTGGACAGCTACAGAACCATAGATGATTTTTGCACCTCCAGAGATCAAACTGGGGATCTATTTTTAAAAAGTCATCCCAAGGACAGCCAGAGGCATTGTGAACCCAATCAAACCAGTTTTGGATGAAAGGAGAAAAAAAAAATACATTCTCATCTAAAGCACCAGAAAGTTTAATCAATTCAAAAGTTACTACTCTTTGCTTTCCAAAACACCTTAAACTTTAATCTCTGACATCTGAAGTATTTAGTTTGTGTGGGACTTACAGGGATTTCCACACTCCAGAGTTCCCCTCCCATCTTGCAAGCCATCTGCAGTGCAATCTTTGTAGCTACAGTCATGAGTGCCTGAGGTCGGCTGAGGGTACGGGCCACCACACACTGGCTGGGAGTGGGGCAGTCCACACAAAGGAACTTCTTAACGCTGTCATACTTATCCTTCCTGTTGTTGGGGAGGACTACCACCACCTAAAAAACAGAAACACCCTGAGGTCTGGTTCCGCTTTGGGAAACGTCAAAATTAAGATCCCTGATGACAAAAATGCATTGTGACATAACTACAATACACTGACCTGCAGTTTCTGTCAGTTATAAAAAATGGCTACAATTTGAGCATTTAAGTGCAAATGTGGTTCATTAAAACCATTTTAGACCTGAAAACTGAAATGTAAATGTACAAGAGTGTGTGCACTTCACACATCACCAACCATCTCTATCTGGGGTCCAACACTGTGCCGCAGGGCTGCGAGGAGAGACTCCTGATGATCTTCATACTGTATCCTACAGAAAAACAAGGATGCACGATAATGTTTGTGAATTAAAAGTCAAGAAAAAAAACCTACATGTGTTACAGTCAAAAATTTCACTTTACATACATGACAGTCCATTGTGATAAAAAAATGTGTTGCAGAAATACTTAAAAATGCTAAACTCACATGATAGGTTTTCCCATGGCGATTCCCAGTGGGCCTGAGACTCTGCTGAGGGTCTGTAGAAGAGAACTGGCTTCATTGCCGTTACGACGGGTGTGAAAGAGGAGCCAGTTGTTCAACGGAGGAGCGCTCATCACAGCTAATCCACGCATCTCTTTGGCCCAGTCAGCGGCCCAGGGGTTGTAGTCATACTATGTGATAATTATATTAAACATATTAAATGAGCCCTTAAAAGTATCTGTTTAATTAACTGAGAAGAAGAAATCATACCGATCTTGACCCCTGGTAAATCCTCTCCACAGGGAGGACTCTGCCAGCCAGATTTAGAAGTTGCTTATCAAAGCTGAGTCCCCACTTATCCAACTCGGCTTGCGCGTCAGCGTTCCTGTGAAATAATTTAAGCTGTAAATCAAAGCCGGGAATCTTACAGACAGAACATAATGACGAAGAAATTTTCAGTCAACTTTTGTGTATATTATCAGAACACCCAAAGTGTGTCTGAGATGAAGACAACTTCTAGGGAAAAAATTCAGAGCTTTAATTGTCATGATCAATTGAAAATATATGCCTCAAAAATCACCTCTCCTCTTAAGCAGACTATAGATGTGACAAGTCCAGTGTTAACACTAAATCATTGTTTTATATATTATTGCCTAGCTATTAAAGACCACCTAGGCAATAACTCAAAACAATCCGTTTATTTCTATTCTGATTCTGATTACACTAGTGACTGTCACCTACCTCTGTATATTAGTGATAAATCTGTTGAGGCGTCCCTCCCTCTGCTCTGGGGTCAGTCTGGTGTGGGTACTCAAGTCCTTCATGATGCTGAAATCAGCCCGCATCTTATCAGTCAAGCCTGTTAAACACAACCAATCAAAAATGTTAGTTATAATAAAACAACTTCCTTGTAAAACAAATCTGAGGTCAAGGTTTCAGGTATCAGAATAAACCAACTAAATACCTTCTTGTGGATTACTATTAGTGAATCTAACTGCAAACATTTCTGACTTGTACCTTGTTGAAAGTGGTACATACATGTTTGTAAGATTAGCATTATAACTTTAATGCAGACGGACTGAGGTCCTTAGACATGAAGCGTATATTTACAGATGCCTGCAGATGAACAAAGAGGCACGTTTATCCGAAAAGGGCCAAACGGCACAGAATAAGGTTAAACCTGTTAGGTAGCACAGCTCTGGGATAAGCATGGCTGGACCAGGAGGTGGCGCTCCAGCAGGACCCATCTTCTTCACATAGCTGATCAGCAGCACCTGGTTTTCATCAGTGATGTCCAGGCCATATTGCTAAGAACAGGAAGTATAAATATTTGAGTGTGGACTGAAGCTGAGACAATTTACCATGAAGTTACTACTTGCAGCACGTTAAAAACTTTGCACCCGTGACAATAAATGCAAATTCTTTCTTAAATTTTGCACAATCTGAATTTTAGCCCTTTAAATAGTTAGATAATTTTAGCTCCATGTGCTGCATTTCTTATATTTGCCTTTGCCAGTCATTGTCCATGTAATGAGAACTTGAGGGTTTTTGTTTGTTTTGTTTTTTTTAATGTTGAGTGCACAATACCCACACTCTTGTAGTAGTTCTTAAAGGAAATGTCAGCATCTCCCCTCTTGAATGTGTTGCTGGGAGTGTGATCCCAAGCAATACCATCAATCCGGTAGGTTTTGTTGTTGTATCTAAACATTGGAAATAAACACAAGTAGTAAGTCACATGATTACACATAAGCAGTGTGAAACTAATGCATCAGCGCACAGGTGTCGAACTCTAGGCCTCGAGGGCCGGTGTCCTGCAGGTTTTAGATGTGTCCTTGATCCAACACAGCCGATTTAAATAGCTAACTTACTTCCTAAACATGTCTTGAAGTTCTCCAGAGGCCTGGTAATGAACTAATCATTTGATTCAGGCGTGTTGACCCAAGGTGATATCTAAAACCTCCAGGACACCGGCCCTCAAGGCCTGGAGTTCGACACCCCTGCATTAGAGTGATACACATCACAAGTACAAAAACAAGATGCTAAATTCAAATCTTACTTTGTGAGGATTATGAGCCCGATAAGCTCCTTCTCACAGATCTCAGTGAAGCGTTGACTTCCACATTGCTGCCTCAAGTTGACCATAAAGTCGAGGACCGTCTCACTGCGCAGCACCTTGTGGCTCACGTCAGTGCACATCATGATAGATGACTCGTACTGCAAGATGTTGGTGGTGTACCCTGGCCAGATGGTCAACCTAGCATAAAAATTTAAATAAATATAAATAATAATAATAATTTTTTAAAATTACGTAACTTCTAAAACAGTTAGGAATACATTGTTTTTACTTTGACATTTAGGAGGAGTTTAAAAGTTTCAGATCTAACCGACACCATCAGGTTTTAGAGGAAACTGTTTTAGCTCGTAATGTTTTTTTTTTTTAAATGCCTGTTGATAAGCAAATACACCCCCCCCCCAAAAAAAACCAAACAAACAAACAAACAAACAAACAAACAACCCCTTTTCATCTGGTAACTATGCCAGGCACAATCATGTATGAGTGGGCAAAAACTGTGAGGACTTTGCCTGCAGACGGTTGATGTTACTGTGTACTGAGAAAAATTATAAGTTCATTCATGTTGATACATATAAAAACTTGTGCAGTTAATGTTAGGCCTTAAATTTTAATATAAGAAAAAACAAAAGAAATATACTTGTGCTGTGGGATGTTAAGGGGATCACTGGGGCTGTAGTAGTTGCGTCCAATCTGCTGCATGTTGAGAATTCTCAAAATCCTGTAGAAATTAAACACAAGACATTAAAGCTTCCAGTCATCAAAAATACTTTGGTGAGTTGTACCAACGTCAAAATGTTTGCAATTAAATGCAACTATTTACTTTACCGATCAACAATCATAAACTACGAATCAGTTGCAAATCACTTCATTAAATTGGCAGATGCATTCGAAAAATATTGCTGCGCAGCACTTTTTAAAACGAAGCTCTGAAAGGTGGAAAGCTTACCTTCGGAATATGATATTGTAAAACTGAATGCACACTGGTGAAGAGGGTGGCAGTTCATTCGTCAGGGTGATTGTTATCTGAACCTTCTCTCCATTTCTGGTCTCGCTATAGACCACAGTCTCCTAAACACGAGGGTGAGACACTCAATAAGAGGAAAATCCAGGCTTGTCAAAAGACCACAACTTTCCAAGCCACCAAGCAACGCCTTTGTCAACTCCTGTGCCATTTATAATATAACAACTACTACTTTGAAAGAATTACAGGAATTCAGTGTTTTGCAATCAATAACTCCAATCTCTCAAGAGATTAACACCAACCTGATCATTCAGGCTGACTGATTTATGGAAACCAACTTTTTTTACAATGATAACGAACAGGCAATTCCATCTGCGTGCACAAACACTTTCTTCATAACACGCGATATTTGGAGCATCACAGTACCTTGCTGTGCAATCTGTTCGGCAGAAAAAGCAGAGCTCCATCGAAGCTCCGTGCTGAGCCAAGTGTTTCCTCGTGCTGGAAGAGGAGCGCAGATCTCAGGCGTCGCGACTCCATTTGTGGTTTGAAGTCCACATGGTACTGATACAGAACCCACTGAGGGCGGGACAGGATGCGAAAGAAGTTTGCGGTCAGCTGAATGGGATTACCAGTTACTCCTGTGGAAGTGAACACACACAGAATTTAAGTAGTAATTTTTAAACCTCAACACAGATTACAGAAAGTTACATTTGGCATCGTTTCGATTTAAAACTACTGACCGCATTTGGATTCCTTCACATGCTCCATTGCCTGCCTAGTGTTAACGCCTGCATCATGAAAATCCCGGCGGCGTCCACCTCTTTCTCCAAGCTTCACCTGCTGAAATCCAGCTGAAATCTGTAGAAGAGCTAATGAAAACAAATGAAGACTGTTAACAGCCCACATGCACTAATATGAATGTAATAAACAACAACGCAATAGTGTCGGTCTACAAATATATAATCTGCATTTTACATTTCTAGCAATGAACAGAAAGTGTTATCAAATGGGACTGCCTTTTTTCTTTCCACAATTAGAAGAGATGGTTTCCTCTGCAGTGCAGTCCTCATCGGTTTACATTTTTAACTTTACTTATAAATGGAGTAAAGAAAGGGCAAACAAAGATATTTAACAAAAGAAATGTAGCTCGACTTTTTGTTTGACTGCACCTTCTGCACTGAAGGGTCCTGGAGCACCTTTCTGCCTCCCTCTACCACCCAGGTCCCCTGCCTCTGGGGGAGGGGCAGCTGCTGTTGCCGGCTCTTGGGCCTGACTCTTGAAGAAAGGAAAAACAAAAAGAAAAGAAAAAGCATGGTCATTCTTTTCACGAGAAGGAACTTAACTCTGCAGACACATTTTTGACAATTACTTTTAATGTGCACATCCAAGAATGAGATAAATATACCAGAGAGAATGTTTTCCCTTTACATTTTCCACAGCACATTAATGCCGCAAGTTCTCAGTATTTTCTGTAGTAAATAAACAATTAAGCTTGGAAAACAATGTTTTTCACACCTTGGCTTGTTTCTGCATTTTATGCAACAGGGTGAGACAAAATTAAGTAAAATCATTTTAATCTGGAAAAATTCAGATTTAAAGTCCAACTTTAGAAATGACTGCCACTGTGTGCCATTTCACTTTTAACAGGTGAAAAGAACAATTACGTTCTGTAAATGAAATGCTGAGCATGTTTTATGCAGTACGTGTCTTTTTCAAAGAGTATGGGCAATTACAACAGTGAGCCCTGTGGATAATGGAGAGGAGAATTCCCACTGTGACAAAAATATGCAGAAATGCAGTCCTGACATAATTTTTCTTAGTTCCTGAGTCACTTCTATTTTATTTATACAGAATGGGTTAACAGCTAATTATTTCAAGGCATTTTATATAGTGAGGTAGATCTTGATAATACAAGCACAAAAACAAATGGAGCAACCCTGCTGGTGAGTGTTTGAGGCAAATTTCAGTATAGAGGGAAAAATACTGGCAGTCAGCACTGCCATCCCTCAACCTTTTAACTCATATGGTACCAATTTGAAAAGCCTAGATGATTCCTTCTCCAGTTTTGAATTCACAAACTTGTCCAGTGCGCATGCCCAGCGTTGTGACGACATCCTATCAGCCTTTTCCGGGTGAGGGGTACAAAAAAAATAACAAAAAACCCCCATAATAACTTGTTGACATTACAGATACAGACCATTGGGTAATATAAGGCTTGGCACAGTAAATATCAGCCTGTTGTCTTTCTATCGGCCATGCGGCTTAAATTCTATGCACCACTGTCCCCTGCTGAATCAAAGTAGTTAACCAGCGTGTGATGGGAATGTGATTTTTTAAAGGATTATTTAACTGTAAATTCAAATGTGTCCTTACCGCTCCAGGTGCTGCAGTCTCCTGCCCGCGCGCTCTTCCTCTGGATCTCGCTCGTGCTCTGCCAGTCATTTTCGCCCCCTCTCAATTTTTGCGGCTGATGAAAAGCGATACTCTAAATTTTCAGCGATTAAAAGAATGCAATTAATTTTTGCCAACCAAAATTTACCCTTGCAAAAACATCAAGGCCCTCTACTTTTACCCCGCCGCCATTTTGTGATCAAGTAGAATCGTTAAACCTGATGCTAGCTAATGACCACATGCTAACGAGAAATCAGATTTTTGTGTACGTTTGTTTTACAGAATAAAATGTGGCATTCTTGTTTGCACATTAATTGCATGCGTTATCCAAGATTTTGACTTTAAATTGTAGCGTTTTTTGTCAAATAAATACAGACCAATGCGTTAGCTAATTAACGTGTTCCCATTAATGGTAAGGCTATCGTTAATCGGTTTCAATATCAACTTTAAGAGTCACTCTCAATATTTACTGTCGTTTTCAACACATGTTGCATGATATTAACTAAGAATACTCACTTTATATTATTTTTTTCTTATTATAAACCGTCCTAACTTTCCCTTACAGCAGGTGTGCCGGTCAAAGAGGAAAATGAAATGTGCACAATGTACTTATAGGCCGCATCACTGAAAAAAATTAATACGCTACTGAGTTTCATCGACTTTCTCAACAAACGTCTTGAGATTAAATAATGTATTTAATCCACATATCAACCATATATTATAAGTATATTATAATAATTATATCCGGGCAAAACGGACCCGACCATGACGGGATACCTGTAATTACAAAATGCACCCCCCCCCCCCCCCCCGAACTATGTTTTTAAGCGGAGTAATTTAACCTGATACGGTGGTTGTGTGTGCATTTTTTTAAACAGTGTGATTTCAATTTTGGCCACTAGATGTCAGCAAAGCTGTAGAATAAAATTCACAGACTCAGGATGGCCGCTAATGCAGTTCATCTAGCCTCTGATGCGGGCCTTAAACTTATGGTTGCTGGTTGTTGGCCTGAGATTTCACCCGACAGGCAGGTAAGAACCTGTAAGAATGTTTCCTAAAGAATGTTTCCTAAAATTTCACCTTGACAAGGATGACTTAGATTAGATTAGATTATCTTCTTAAAAATAGCCTATAAGTTCTTTTAGCTAGTATTAAACCGAATGAAGGTGAACAAAAGAGGGCTGTACACCTTACTGAATGAAAGTCAAGTGATAACTGTGAGTGATCTTTTCATGACTATATAGATGAGGGCCTTTTTCCAAGGCAATGAAGGCTTTGTGTCATTCAGTTTCTGTGCAAATGTAAACTTATCACCATGATGACAGAAATGTTAATCCTGAAATGTGTTAAATGGCTTACACAAAGTCAGCAGTTTCTTTCAAGGCCTACCTAATCATGAGCCATTATTTCCTCACAGACTTTGCCTCTCTTCTCAACATCTCACCATTTAAAACACAACTTGGCACCTCAGAGGGCATTTTTTAAAGAAGATGTACGCAAGTCTTTCATGTCTGAGATCTAAGAGTGATTACATATTCAGACCTGAGGGATGAATCTGCGAGGACCTGCTTTAGTCACTGTTTACCTGCTGGAAGGAGACTGAAGGGAGCTAAAGGCAGAGACATCAGTGTCATCAAGTCAAATTGTTTGGTAAAAAACAGGAAAGGATGTAACAATCTAAAAAGAAAACCCCCAAAAAGCAAACCTCCACTATGATGTATGTCTCTGTAAACTCATTAACAGCTACAGATGCAATTCAGCATTACTCACAACATGCACCTCCAAAAATGTTCCAGTACTGTAAAAGCTTTGATAAAGGAGGAGAAAAAAATCTTCAAAAACCACCCTATCTCTTAAAAAAACAACAAAGGCCACTGAAAAAGAAAAAACGGGGAAAAAAATGAAAGAAAAAGAAGAAAACGGGGCCAGAGAGAGGACTGCAAGCTGAGTGGTGTGAGGCTGAGAAAGGTGCACCCTGCCAGGGACGTTGATGAATGCGCTTCAGGCTTCAAGCTCGCCCTGCAGCCCCCAGCGGTGCGGATTCCACGCTTACGCTAATCATGCTCTGCGAGATGCTACGGCCCCGAAGCTGATGAAAGGAAACACGCAACACAGTTAGGCTATCAAAACTGGCTGCACACTCACAAACACACACTCATCACTCCTGCATCTATCATCAACACAGCCGAGAACATCGTCATCGCCGTCAAGAACGTGTCTTCATATTGATATTCATAGTTTTCAACCTAATTTCCTGCTTTTGTCATTTAAAAAAAAAAACCCAAACAGGATCAAAGCTTTCCTTCAACATAAATCGCAGGGGCTCCATTAAGCTCGAAACCAGAACAAGAGGGGATTCTGCATATTAGGGATTTACCGTGCCACAATGTCAGTAAGCGGGTTAGGAAAATTAGATTATTCTCTTCCCGGCCATGGAACCTAATCTGCTCCACATCAGCGTGTTCCCCTTTAAAACAATCATGAGATTTCATACAAGCGGCACGACACTACAGGCATATTTTGCATGCCATGTCTATGCATAAGCTTTTTTGTGGCCTTAGGGGTTGAGGTCGAGCTAGAGATGCACTTCACGGCATGAAACAAAACAGAAAAAGACTGTGGTGGGGGGGGGATGCAGAAAAATGACTTTGCATTTCATGATGCCAGGCTCCTTAAAATAATGCAGCCATGCACTGTATCACAGGGGTAAAAGAAAAGTTATTTTTCTCCACGGGTATCCAAAGCCCATGCAGAAGAAGCAGTCAAAGCAGACACATAGTTTGTAAAATCTAAAACAAACTGTTGGTCTATTTATAATGAAGGCGGAAAACAGTTTCCGGCTTTGTTAGTGATGCCGCACAGCTGGTGTTGTCAGAATCGCTGAGGTTCAATACCAACAATCAGTCCTCCGGAACAAGGAGAAGATCATTTCCAAGCAGTCGAAAAATGCCAAAGGAGAGCGCTTTTCTTCATCAATACATTTGAGCTTTTGCTACATTTACAGATTAGATTACGCTGCACAGCCTTAAATCATTAATAAGCTATAAATTGTACTCTTACAAACTTAAATACAATATGAAAAAAAGAAGAGGAGAAAATATTATAAAACACATCCACTTATTGGAAAAGACATTAAACCAGAGTAATAGCTTTGCACATATTTCAGCATGCAATCTGTGAAAGCTCTGCCATCCTTTATCATATCCAACCGTGTGGATGTGCACACCGAGATAAACAAGCAGTATCGAATATTTAAGTCACAAGATTCTCCTGTTTGATGTTTTAACTGAATAACATTGAATATTTTGAATACACACTGGTATTAACAGTGAAATGAAGAATGAAGACGGCTGAGAAAACTCAATGTGCTGCTGCGTTAGCCCTGTGAAGGAAGAGTGATCTGTTCAGGGTGTAAACCCCATTTTTCCCAGTGTCAGCTGAGATGCGTTCAGTACTCCTTAACCTTAACTTGGATAATGGAATATTTAAATTATCCTAATCAGAGTGCGTCTAGTAGTTGATATCCGTGCAGTTTGAAGCCCTGGTGCAGTTATCAGGAGTGTGCATGTTCCTACAGTGCCTGCATCTCATGTGAAGTTACTGGCTGTGTGAATTGACCCAGATTTGGTTGATGACTGGATGAATTTTCTATGTACTGTGAAACTTAAAATTACTTTAAAGTAATGAAGTAATGTTGGTTCAGCTTATTGTACTCAGCTTGTCTCCCTCCCCTCACTGAGCCTCCTTCTGTCTAACGTTTCCCTCAGTTAAAAGGGAGTTTTTCTTTCCCACTGTCGCCAAGTGCGTGCTCATCGGGGGTTGCTCGATTGTTGGGTTTTTCCATATTACTGTAGAGTCTTATAACATTAAGCGCCTTGAGGAGACTGTTATTGTGATATGGCGCTATATAAACAAAACTGAACTGAATAGAGCTTCCCTGTTTTTTTAATGTTGAAGTTGTTTCTCTGGGCAACTAAGCGTCTGGTGGAGGAGAGAGACAGGATCTTACTGGACAAAGCGAGCCTTAACAGTGGCTTAATTTTATTGTGTGTGCTTCGGATGTCGAGGATTTTACATCTGACTTAAATCATTGTCCGCGCAACACTTTCGAGCAAAGCCGACAACTATATAAATAATACTTTAAAAACCGCAAAGCACGGCTGAATTGTCAAACTGTTTAAACCAAAACATTTACTTGTCGTGAATATACAAAACCCTTTTTTCATAAGTGATCCTTCCCCTTATCCAGACTTCCTGCAAGCATGAGCTCCAAGGACATACCCTATTCAAGCTTTTTTTTCCTTTAGTACTTGGCAAATACTGTTTCCTGTTCATTTGATTAAAAAAAGAAAAAACCCCTCTGGCTTGTGGCGGCCTTGACTTGTTAGAGATTATTTGTGTACATAGATACGGGACATCTGGGTAGAGAAAAAGAAATAGGCCCTGATGTATCCACTGAATACTATAAAGGTGAAAAACTGTCAATCTTTTTGCTATGAGTTTGCTATGAGGAAGTGATAGCTGTAAGCTTGTTTTTAATACCGTGTTTATGAATATACCTGACATGTTCAGACCCTACCCAGCCCAACCTTTTTTCTCCCTTTTTTGGGGGGGAGAGGCAGGGGGTTGGCAGGAGGAGGCCTTTGCTGACCATAGCAGACTCCTGCAGAGGCTGAACCCCCCCTCCCTTGGTGCTGGCCTCAGTGAGGATCCCATGTGATCTCTGAAAAGTCAACAAGGGTTGGTCCACAGCTGGGCCGCAGGAGAACAGAGAGCAGACACGTAGCAACACCCTCCTACTGGGAGCAGCCGAGCAAAGGGAGGACTCAGGGCCTGCATGGGAATCTACTGTATTCTTCCTCCGTGAAATGTGAGCAGACAGCAGGGTGGAATCTTCCCCAATTCAGTTTTAGCGCCCATTTTAGTTTCCATGCATGTTGGACTCCATCACGTCGTCTTTTCCAAGCAAACTCCCCATGTGCGGCAAAAGCCACTGCACAATGGACACACGGTGGATTTAATTTCGAGCTAAGATTAAGTTGCCTTCAGCATCACTGAAACTTTCTGAGGATTTCGAGTTAAAATCTCAGTGGTTATGCTTCTCCGTAGTCCGGAGCATTGGTTTGAACAAAGGTGCAGTGAAGCATCAGCAGCAAAGAATCTAATAAGCACAATGTGGGAATAAAGCAGAGGGGAGTGAGCATCAAAGGCAGCCAGGCACAGCATGACTGGCATCAGTCTGAACTCCCAACCTAGGACACTCAGCATGCTCTTCAGCAATTGCCCCCTTTAGACCAGTCCTGGGCAGTAATTAAAACCATCATTCCCACTGCCTCGGCATCTCATTAGCCACAGGACCCCAGGCTTTCATCCCTACTTGTCCATAAATATCACAACTCCGCACCAGCAGTGATGAGTCCCACAAACCAAAACACACGTCCGTAAATCCTCGGAGCTGAACAGAGCATTATCTGACTATCATCCAACTCCAAAGGAACTGCGGGAGATCACAGAAGCCGGTCTATTCATGTCCACCGTAATTATTAGTGCACCAATCAGAGATAATTTGGCAGGAAACTGTCACCCTGCTGTTGG